AGGAATGCCATGAAGCTACAAGTAGAGGCTGGCCAAAACGAAACTTGTGGAATACCCAAATCCTCAGCGGCTTTTATCCCGAAACTCATGACCCCATCAGAAATTATGCAACGAACTGGAGGTATTTGGGAACATGAATTGAGCCTCAGCAGCAGCTCTTTAAATGGACCAATGCAGTTCTTTCTAGTTGATTCGAATAGCGACGGAACATCTTGAGTTGCATCGCGATCTGATGGTGGCAAGCCATCCGGTATGGTCTCGAAGGAAAAATCCGGTAAGCCCTTGCCGAAGTCAGGACCTTTAGACCTGATTAAACGCCTGTGATTGAACTCGGTGTTGACAAAGGTGATGTGGAAGCCTCTTGAGTGTAGAAGCTTGGCTAATTGCATAAAGGGGTTGACATGGCCTTGTGCTGGGAATGGGATAAGAACTGCATGAGGCTTCTTGGGGTCAATTGAACTCATCATCAGCAAGCAAGAAAGCAACCAATTATGATAAGAACAGTAAAATTTTTAAAGGGTTTTTTTTTTTTTTTTTTTTTTTTTTTTTTTTTTTTTTCTAAGGGAAAGATTGAACTTAATTTGCTTGGTTTTGAAATGTAATGATTTATGGCGCATATACAAGACTCGTATATATGAGCAGTTTGCCTGAGGCCACACTTTGAGTCACACCGGCAATTATGGAATTCCTGTATAGCCTCCTTGGGAGGATCGTACTTATCCCCAATTATTATTGCACCTTTTAATATTTGTATCACCTTAAATAATCAAATTAATTAAAGGTATAATAATAGTATTTGATAATTAAATTTCTTGGTGTCATAACATTTTAACATCTATTTTATGTTAAATAAATGTCGTGTGCTCATGTTACTTTAAAGCACAACAGCGTTACATTATATAACTATTATTGTATATATATATATATATGTATATAGTGAAACGATTTTAATGTAACATGCCAGTTGACTATATATATTACTAAACATATATAACTCACACTCACATGCATCACGCCCAAGATAATAAAAATAATTTCTTTAGGTTTTAAATAAATAAACCATCTTAACATTTTGTGGAAAAATGTAGTAGGTGGCCAATAATCGAGTGGTAGTAGGTGGCCAATAATTGGCACCCACTGCCTAAACAATTTTTATTTTTATTTTTATTTTTTAAATTGAAAAGGATACACTGTCTAAACAAATGCGCCTTAGTGATAATAATACAATTAAAAATCTGATCGTTTCATCCTCCCGGGACCTCCAATTAAATGATACTAAAATGTTTTCAGATCATACGTGTCGCGTGCATAGGAAAGTAACTTTGTATGTTCTACCCCATGTTAATATTTCTATTATCATATTATTATTTTTCTAGATTATTCAGTAATAGAGGTCTGAGTTGGTTGTTAATGCACAACTAACTTTAATATTATGTTTGCTAAAATTAAATGGTGGGGGAAAATGATCGGATCAGGAATTTTAAAGTAGAAAATAGATAATTAATATTGCTTAACAAAGAGGAACTTTGAGTAAAAGAATAGAAAAATTTATGGGCGACATTTTCTTATTCTTTCTAGTTTTAAAGGAGGCAGGGAGGAATATAAATAGGGATAATCGCCCGCAGGTTAAGTGTTTTTTTTTTTTTTCATCAAAAACTATCAAACCAATCAAAAACTATTTTTTTTAACCGTTTGATATTTTTAAAAAACTTTAAATTAAATAAAACCATTAATAAATAGTTTGAACGGTTTAGTTTTAAACTTAAAAGTGACATGAAATAAAATAACTATTTTGCCGTTATTAGAAAAAAGTATTTTCCCTTAGTTATATCCATTTACTCATCTAGTATATAATACTAAAATGAGATAACTTCTTTTCTTTTTTGCCCCCTTCTAGTTCTTCCAAAAATTACAAAAGAAAAACCATTTCCTTCTTTTTTTTTTTTTAATTTTATTTATCGTGTTACCATCTCCTTTCTTATTATATAGTCTATTCATATGTAATCTATAGTAGTACTTTAAGTCTAAGATATTAAACGAAACGGACCAAATTTTTTTTTTTTTTAATACGTAAGTGCTAGATCAAAATCGAAAAAAGAGAAACTGCAACCCCAAAAGAAAAAAAAGACGTATCAAAACTAAGCAAAACTAGATTCAGAAGAGGTAAAAAAACTGCAAAAAACAAGAATAAGCGATGGATACTCATACTACAACGCGCTCAAGAACATATCAAAATGTGCGCTCAGATGGAAAGTAGAGAAAATCTAATTCAAATTGGGCCAAAATAAACAAAAACTAGAAAAAAGGAACAAAAGAGAGAAACAAAAAGAAAAAGAAGCATGAAAGGAGCAAGTATTTGAGATTAGGTCTCAACAAAATTAACAACTAATGCTAATCTTATCTTAGAATTTCTTAAAAGTACGGAAAGTCCCCTCCTCGGATGATGTCGCCAAAATCAACAATGAACGGTTTGAAGAGAGTCCCACTCCCAGGGATGGACTTCGATGGATGGATGGAGGGAGAGGCAAAAGAGATGTTTAAGCCATTCAGCTTTTTCGCCACATTTATCTAATGCGACAAACTCAGCTTCCATCGTGGATCTGGTTATTACCGTTTGCTTAGAGGATTTCCATGAAATAGCTGCACCACCCAAGGTGAATACATATCCACTCGTAGCCCTAGAATCCTGTGTATCGGATATCCAACTTGCGTCAGAGTATCCTTCTAAAATAGTAGGTTCTCTTATGTAATGTAGTTCATAGTCACGAGTATATCTTAAGTACCTCAGTACTCTCACAATAGCTTTCCAGTGGTCATCTCCTAGGTTACTCGTAAATCTGCTCAATCTACTTACGGTGAAAGCAATATCTGGTCTTGTACAGCTCATTAAGTACATCAAACTATCAATCACTCAAGCATACTCCACCTGGAATATGCTTTCTCCTCTGTTTTTGGACAAATGTTGACTTATATCAATAGGAGTTCTGGCTATACCAAAATCATCTTTATTAAACTTGTCAAGTATCTTGTTCACGTAATGTGACTGAGTCAATATGAGACCATTAGGCACCCTTTTGATTTTGATATCTAAAATCACATCAGCCGGTCCCATATCTTTCATGTCAAACCTTGAGTTCAACATGTGTTTGGTAGATTTGACCATTCGATCACTGCTACCTACAATTATTATGTCGTCTACATACAGACAAAGAATGACATAACCATCTTCTGTATTCTTGACATAAATACATTTGTCACACTCGTTGATTTTGAATCCATTTGACATCATAACATCGTCAAATTTCGTATGCCATTGTTTTGGTGCTTGTTTCAGTCCGTACAAAGACCTCACCAATTTGTAGACTTTCTTCTCTTGTCCTGGAGCTACACAACCCTCAGGTTGTTCCATGTAGATTTCTTCTTCCAGATCTCCGTTTAGAAAGGCCGTCTTTACATCCATTTGATGAACTTCAAGATTCCGCACCGCAACAATCGCTAGTATCATCCTTATATAAGACCAAGATGCTACAAGTATTTGAATGCTTTGAAGAGATGCTTCCTAATCCACCAAATTCCGCAAGAAGGACACCTAAAATGAAGGTTGATGTGTAAAATAAATTTCCTAGACGTGTGTGGGTAAGGAAATCTTATTTAAGGTGTCATGAGGCTTATAATTCTTTTAAAGCATGTACTACTAACTCTGAGTATTACAGTAATTGTCACTCCAAGCTTTTGATAGATGATAAAAGCAATATGCATGGAAGAATATTGTATTCAGGGGGAGTAAGACTCGTAGAGGACTCATGGGGAGCGTTTTGCAGAGATCAATGACCCTAAAAGATGATCTGCAGAAAAGTGTTATATCAAGTGTTGCAACACTTTCTGCGACAACAGCTTCTAAAAGGTTTTTCTATTAGTAATATTTTTAACTTTGGCTGTATTTTGTCAAAAAGGGGGAAAACTCTTAGTAATGTTAGTTGGATTTTATCTTTTATCTTGTAATAGGTTCTTTTTGTTAGTAATGTTAGTTTTGCCAAAAATAGCCAAATGGGGAGATTATTAGTGTATTTTTTGTGTTGGCTTATTTTTGGCAAAATGGTTGTAAGATTGGTTGGTACTGTAAATTGGTGGTCCTCTTAAGGAAAGTTTTGGTTGTCATGGTTATTGGCTGCAAATCAAAGATCTTGATTGCTAAAAATCAAGAGTGGACTTTTTAGGGTATTGATGGCTGGTGATTTTCAGGCTTGAGTATGGTCTTTTTACTGTCATGGGGTTGGTGACCTGATTTGGTGGTTAATAGAGGAGATATTACCATGATTGAGTGTGCTTATTGTGGATGATTGAGGGTTGGTGATTGTGTGATGAAAAAGATAGTGGCATGAGGGTTTTGATATGAGGGCAGAACGTGTTATGCAGACACAGGGCTGAAAACTGAAAAGTTTGCATTTGTTCATGTGAGAATGAGATTGTAATGTTAAGTGTCGCTTGATGTGTTACAACGAATTGTTAGAACATTTTCGAGTTGGTTCTTCGGGAGAAGATTTCTTGGGTTTCGGGAGGAAACCGTCAAGTCGAGTGGTGCTCGCTAATCAAGCTTCCTAAGGAGATTCTAAGCAACGACGACATCGTCAAGGATGGAGTCGTTGAGTGTGTAAGTGTTGGAATATTAATGGCATCGAGTGCGCAGCGGAATTTAAAAATTTTAATCAACGTCAAAGCCAAACAAGAACATGTTCATGATGCTATATAACATAAATACTAAAGATCTAAAACATACCTTTTGAGATTTCAGGAAACTGCACGTTAAGCGTTCCAAACAGCAACCGGAAGAGCCTCAACCAACTGGTCTTCTTTGCTATTCTCATTTTCATGATCGGAGTGCGGGTGGTCACATGTTGTTTAATCTCCTCTAGGTATTCTTGATCTCCTTCCAATCACAAGAGAGCCAAAGAAAAAATTGTTCTTGAGAATTAAACAATTTTTCCTCTCAGGAATCTTTTATCAATAGCCTCCAAAAAATCTCTCAAGTGATCTCTTGAAGTAATGTGACTTAATAGGCTATTTATAGTGTTTAGGAAGTCATACTTTCGTAACAAAGTTCTAATCGCATCCAGAGTCGATTTTGCCATGTCATCATGCATTTTACGTTACAACCGGTCGACCGGTGACA